AGACACGTGCCAGCATAGGTCATTAGGTTATTTGTTGTTTACTTGGAACGATGCGAATTTTTGTCCTTCAGTTTTGTACGTTTTTGACTGGATTTAGACGATGATGGCATCAAGACTGATCTGAGCAAAATCTTGATATTTCAGGTTCCACAAAGGTCAGTGACACCGTTTTACCTTTCTTGCATCAACGTACCAAGTACAATATGCCGTTCAGAGGGGTGTTGAGACAGAAATGAAAGAATAATGTGACCAGATCACATTTTCAGATCATATAAGCCGTTCGACTCATTGTTATCATAGCACATGCTCGGCGTATCATTGCCATTTGGAGGTGTCTAGTGATATTATGAGGTGGAGCACAAATGGAGTCGACAAAATCCGGCATTGTGCCAAGTTCTTTTTGCTTTCATGCAGATCTCCATTTTATGTCAAATTAGGGACAAATGATTATATCTGACCTAAAAAGGTCGCTCGTAGGCTGCAGAGACAATGCCTTTGGGTATGAACTAAATCAAAACGAGAAATTATGTCTCTAGAGTGAGTTTTACCAGTGGCCAGAGCCAAAAATCAAGTTGGGCCAGTGACCTACGATGACCACATCGTGTTGTTGGAAGGAACACCTAATAACAACGCTTCCTCGGAATGCTCTCAACTCATCCACGTTTTATTTCAACATGCTTTGACTAGAACTGTCCTATGTCACTATGAAAACGACTTGAAAGTTGGAACCTATGTGAAACTAGTGAAGGAGAAGGTGCTTATCATTTTCGAAAGCAAGTTTAAACAGTTCTTTAGATATTCACGAGAAGGTTATGGAGATGGTGGACGTCTGCCCCTCCCCCCCCCCCCCCCCCCCCCCCCCCCCTCCCCTTCCATGGTCGTCCTTAAACAATGTTAGTAAAATGCCGTCAACAATAGCATGTTTTTGTGGCATGGAACGAGCCAGGTGAGAACAGCCTCCTCATGTGATGACACTTAACAGGTAGGCCACAGAAGCTCATAACTTTTGGGAACCCAAACCACTGTGTTATACCAATGCATTGGGAAAGTGAATGGAACATCCCTTTCTTATGAGTTAGCAGGCTAAGATGTGCCGTTGTCTGGCAGGCGTGTATTGATACAGAATTGGCAATTTGCTGGCTTTACGGCTGACGAGTTCTGACCATTTTTATGGACGGAATAGGTGAAAGCAGAATCCGTGGAATCAGTTACGTTTCCAGCGACTGGGATCAAAAAACTCCAAAAAACGTATAGATGTTTGGGTAGCTCTGGTCATAAGACATTTGACGAAACTGAACGCCTAAGCATTTATCACGGCTCAGTCTTCCTCGGTTTGGACCAGAGACCCAGCTTTTTAACCAGCCAAACGCCACATCTGACCCGGAAAAAGTCCCTGGGCATTTGGTAAAGCAGTATGCCATACATATCGGGCTTTTTCGTGCAATACGTTTAGTGCTAGTAACTACGTTTTCTGTTCCTCTAGATCAGAATACACTGTCACACATAACGCAACTATTAAGTTGACATAGCAGCGGCTTCCACGGAAGGTTAACCTTCACCCTGATCCGGCATTCACCGTTTTTCATTATGCGAACTGATGGGAGGGAATATGTGTTCCTTTCCCGTTTCCAAACTAAGAGAGATAGAACTTAGAAAAAGTGCCATTGGATTGGCCTTAACGAGATTTTGCGATTAATAACAATTTTGGTGTTGCTTGGTAAAAAATACATGCTGGTATGTATGGTCAAACGTCAAATGTATTAGGAAGTCACAATTCTTAGCTTTACAACCCCGGACGTACGAGATCATGCCTTGCAGCGACAAAAACTTAACCGGCCTTTTTTTTCGCTCAATTCTGAGTGCAGTGATGCATATGTGTTTACGCGTTTTAGCCACATATATATATATATATATATATATATATATATATATATATATATATATATATATATATATATATATATATGATGTATGGCTCCAATACTATAGCAACGTCGGCCTGCGGCGCACATTCCGCCGCATCGTCTGTCTCCACCCGCCGGCCGCGCCGGCCATGGTTCGCCGTGCAGTGGCCCCTAAAAAACCGCCGCTGCCCCAAGTCAGGAAAGCCGGGGACACACCGTTTATGTCAAAAGACGCGCAATGGATGTCCCATAGGCTGCTGACAATTTGGACTCGATTTTACCAATTGCCGGGGAGGTATCTCAAAGACCTTTTGGAGGTCGCATCGATCTCCCCTACCAGGGAGGGAAAATGCAGTGAATGTTTTTTTCAAAATGTTTGAAAAATGCTTTCAGGTGTTTTACTTGACATTTTACACTGCGATAAAGCAGTGTTCTGCAACCTCCATAACACCCAATAGTCGAAGCAAATTTATTGAATTCGGAATACGTTTGGAATGAGCCATTTTATAGAAATGCGATGAGCTGAATTGTATGCATCTATGTCAGCCACTTGTAGTTTCGGAACGGCTGATAAAATTTATGTGCCTTATCGTCTGACAAAGATTCGGGAGATCGGATGAGTGGTTTCTGAGTTTGAGCTTCGATACAATGCCCCACTGGGGCTTACGCAGTTTTTGAAGGTGAAGGAAGTGGCCTGAGGTTGCTGGGTTCGGAACAGCTGATGCAATTGTATATGCTGTTCTAGTTAATGGTTCCGAAAAAAATCCGTCGAGCGGTTTCCATGTTTGAACTTAGCTGCAGTCTAACAAAGTGATGTATGTGGTTTTTGAAGGTGAATATGGTGACATGACGTCACCAGTTTCAGGACAGCTGATAAAATAGTGCGGGCTCAGATTTCTGGTAAAGGTTCCGGGCAGTTGAGTTCAGCGGTTTCCCAGTTTAGACTTGGCTGCAATGCCACAAGGTGGCTTATATGGAATCCGAAGGTGAATATTATGACCTGCGGTCACTAGTTTTAAATAATGTCCATAAAACCATGTGCGCTCTTTCTTTTCGTAAAGCCTCTAAAACGATCTGTTTCGCAGTTCGTCCTCGGACTTGGCTGCGATGCCCCCAAAGTGATTTATGCGATTTTTTAAGGTGAAGGCGAGGACATGGAGCCACCAGTTTCAGAAAGACGCGGTGACAAGAGGCCACCAGTTTCAGAACGGCTGACAAAATTGTATGTGCTCTTTCTTCTGGTAAAGGTTTCAGGCAGATCGGTAGAGTAGATGTCGAGTTAGGACTTGGCTGCAGTGCCCCAGAGCGACTTATGTGCGTTTTGAAGATAAACGTGATGACCTGTAGCCACCAGCCTTAGAGCGGCTCTTGAACTGGTATGTGCTCTTTCTTCTGGTGAATGTTCTAAAACGATCTATTGAGCGGTTTCCGTGCTTAGACTCGGCAACAATGCCCCAAGGTGGCTTATGCGGTTATCGAAGGTGAAGATCGTGACCTGAAGTTACCAGCTTCGAAACGACTGATGAAACGGTATGTTGCAACGCTTCACCTTCGTGATCAGCGTTCTTCTTCTCACTGACAATTAAAAATGCATGTAAAGAGGTTGTCTATATTCGATCGCAAGATAGTCCGACTCGCTCGCGTTGTGTAAGCTACGCAGAGTCGCGACCCTGGTCGTGGTCGGACCTCGTCTGACGCTACGCAGCATGCGTCAGTCTAGATACACCGCGGGGCCGCGGGGCGTTGGCGGGCGTCCTCCAGTCTCTGGGAAGGGGGCGCTGCAGAACGTTCCACGGCGCGCAACTCTAGTGAGTACGTGCTTGCAAAACGAAGCAGCAGATGCGCGTTATGCAGTATAGCAGTTAAGTTATCTGATATAGTGAACAACACAGACCAACTACGAAGGGACAAAAAGGTATAAATCATGCCCCCGAATAGCGAGCACAGAAAAATACGCGCAACCTCAAGGATCACTTACGAAGCAAGTAAGTCGCTGCAGCACACCAGCGTTACAGCGCCCCTTGATACAATGTGCTCTATCTTCTGGTTAGGTTTCCAGGCAGATCGGCTTTGCGGTGTCTGAGTTTGGACTTGGTTGCAACGCCCCAAAGTGGTTTACGCGGTTTTTGAACGGAAAGAAGGTGACCTGATATCACCATTTTCAGAGCGCCTGATGAAACCGCATTCTGGCTTTCGATTAACTTTGTCTGAAGAAAATATGTTAAGCGGTTTCGTAATTTGCACTTGGCTGGATAGAAGACGGCGAAGTAGTGTTGTCCCCTCCACAAGTTGTTGGAGTTAAGTTAGATGGGGCGGCGCCCCCCCCCCCCCTCCCCTCAGCATTCAGGTTAGGGGGGGGCGAGGGACGCCACTGTCTCCGGCTCCTCGCCCTTGATGCTACATATCCTATTATGTCACACTTTTCCCTGTCAATGACCAGCTCGTCTTAAGTGCAGATGTTATGGCTTTCCAGTATACACGATAAAGACTCAAGTAGTTCGTACAAGAAGGACCTGGATCTTAATTAACTTGGCCGACTGCAAAACCAATGGGTATTGAATTATCTGCTCTCATGATGACCACGATAGGGGGCCTCAATCGCACCACTTCCTAAATGGTCCAATCATGCATAACCCACCCCACCACGGCCTTGGTGCGATGGTGAAATTCTTGCCCGATGATCAAAGAGAATGAATACATGACTCCGGTGTTTCATCTTCTCTAAGACAACGCAAATGCGCAGTGAGTGTTAGACTACAAATATATGAAGAGAATCGGGCAGGAGAGGCTCGAATTGATTCGTAGGTATTGTACTTATTATGAGTTTGTGTTCAAATGACTGGATTGGCCTGCATTCCAAGTAATGTGAGCGCGTAGATTGATATCACTGGGAAATTAAATTCAACCAATGCAACATCAAGCTGCTTTTGACTGCTGACTCCCGAAGAATGATCCTAGATTTATATGTGCCGGAGTATGAGGCAAATGGGTCGTTGTCTGACAATTGCATCCTATGGCTAGATGGAGTTTTAGCCTGTATGGCAGTAGTTTAGTGACGCCCGATTTAAAATGGCGAAACCAACGCAAATTTGGTGAGACAAATGTAGTGCTTTGAGAGCTTTGTTGGAATTGGTGGCCGGATGGCGTTGGAGGGCGTCCGTGAATATTGACTCAGACCGGGTATATTAAGTAAGTGTCATGACAGGCAGATTGTGTCGTTCTGTGACAGATGAGAACTGCGCGATCCACAATTCGTGCCTTAAACGCTCGCTCCATGCATGTCATGCGTGGTGGCTTCCAATGATCCTGCCCATGCTTTTTACTCTATGAGCGATGAAATATATGATCGATCGTGTTGTTGGCATGAACGGTTGTTTTTTGGGCCCTTTCCCAGATTTTGTTTTCATTTTGGAAGTTTCACTCTGTAGACATTAAAGATACTTGTATTGTCATGTGGAAAATTGGATTTGAACATATTGGCTCGGGATGGGGTTTATGGGTGTTTCATGGTTGCAGAGTACAAATTCTGGGCGGGTTGAAAATCTTTATGTGGAAGGTTGAATTTTGTTAAATTGTAGGAAAGGATGTTGGTTTTCACCAGACTACAATAGATATACAATGTGCTGTCAATAAAATATTCTACATAATTGATGCCTGAAAACCAAAGATGACTGCACTCTAAGTCGGTTTCATGTTTTGATGGGTCATCAATGTCATTATGTCTACCAGTGCTACATGTGTGCATGACCAACTGTTAGTGACCCCAGTTTTCAAATTGTAGATGTACATTGAAAGGCATGTACCTGTTTCTGCTTTCACAAATTCCATTAAAGAAGCACCAATTCAGAATCAGATTGTGTTGAGGTGTTTCCTGTATTTGAGTGTCATATACAAAGTTACATGAAATATTGTGGATTTGCATCTGATATAATTATGCCAGCTATGTTTTTTGAAGTTGGACCTCAGGGGAATGGACCTGACTGCATTTTGACTGCTTCATGGGTTACAGGGATTACCACTGATTCTTAATTCTGTGGTGGACACATAACTCAAACAAACTGGGTGTGATCATTGTGCAGACAGACCCAGTAGGCACATTGTTCAGACACACTGGGTGGGTACGTTGTTCAAACAAACATGGTTGGCACATTGTTCAGACAAACCTGCATGGAAAGGCCAGCTGGCAACCAGCCAGAGGATGAACCTGCTTGGGTTAGCCATGTTACAATGTTGTAGAATATGTATACACCTCTGCAGTGTTGTCTAGCAAAGAAGGCTGGAGGATGAATTATCTTTTGGAGTGGATCATCATATCCATGAAGGTGGCAATCCAGAGTATGAGAAGCTCCAGTAAGCAAGTTTTATAGATAGACCCAAGGCCATTCATGCAAACCATTCAAGGTTCAGGTTGAAAATGATGTGCAATATTGAGTTATCAAACATTGAGCAATTAGCAATGAATTATTAGTTTTAACTATTTATAGTACTTGAGTCATATGGTGGGTATTGGCACAACTTGGACTCAGACCATAGCCTGAGGGATTTATGTTTTTGGGGAAGCATACCATGATGAATCATTGGCAGCTTAAAGACATGGTTTTTATATTTAAGGTTACCAATGTTTTGACCAAATTAAATTATGGCAGTCTATCTAGGCAAATCATGTCGAGGCAAGTTCTGGTTCATGTAAACTAAACTGGCAGTGGTAGATCCAGATGCACCTAGTGGTGAACATGAGTTATGTTGAATGATTCATGAAACCACTGCTGCCTTTTAAGTTAGGGCTTTGGAAGGTTGATGCTTTTTGGTCATAAGTGTGGAATGTCAAATGTGTATGTGCATGGGTGATGCCAGGTAACTTGATACAAGTACCATAACTGGTATTTATTTGGGGTTTGTTTGTCTAGGGATGTGGTTATATGGGAATTTTTCATTGGTGGCCATTGTCACCTTTAATATAAGTTTTCATTACATTTGTAGGCATGCATTCAAAAGAGCACTCTCAGTATGGAATATGGAACAAAGGCAAACATGTTTTATCAGTACATATGTAAGGAATATAGGTATGAATCTGAGCATAGGGTATGTAAAGAAGGCAAAGGTTTGAATCCCAATGTTTATGACCACTGTATGGCTGACATTATAATGAGTGGCATCAGTGTGGCAACTATGCCACATGGTTGTGCAGGACATAGTGATTGTCACAGCTCCATTTTCTGCAGATAATGGATGGTCAGAAGTTCTGCCTCAAGTGGGATGGGTTCCAGAGCAGTGTCACCTCTCTGTTTGACCACCTCCGACAAGATGAGGAGCTGGTGGACATCACCCTGTGCTGTGAGGGCCAGAAAGTCAGGGCACACAGAATGATGCTGTCTGCATGCAGTCCATACTTCAGGGATCTCCTCAGAGTAAGTGAAGAACTGGGGCCAACCATTAGCCAGGGATTGTACTTATGGTCCTTGGTGGGCTCACATTTCCTTGGATTAAAATGACAGCCTTTAACTATGTAGAAAGACCAACTTTTTGTCACACATGGCAGCTTAACAGGAGTTGAAGAACCATGATACACAATGTCTGCTAACTGGGTGTCCATGCATAACCTGTTTCTTTTTTGCTCACTCAGCTGGCATTTCATCCATAGTTCTTGCATATCAACAGTGTTAACATAGTAGCACTGTTTCACCATTTGCGGGGGAATGTTCTCAAGATTCACAGCAGTAGAGCACATTGTTATGTCAGGTCTTGCTTGCTCATGGCCACATTTTCGCTTATAACATGTTGGCTTGTTGCAGAACAACCCGTGTCAGCAGATGGTGTTCTTCCTGAAGGACACGTCGGCCGCCGACCTGCTGGCCATCATCGAGTTCATGTACAAGGGCAGTGTGAACGTGGCCCAGAGCCAGCTGGCCAGCTTCATCAAGACGGCGGAGATGCTGCAGATCCGCGGTCTCAGTGGGGATGACGACAAGGTGGGATATGGCGAACGACAAACCATATCAGGCACCAGAGATGCTACGTAACAGGGATGCAGGGTTCAGCAAATTGTTCAGTACCTGCTCAGTGATATGACTACTATGTGGTCAAGTCTTGTGAGGGAAGTTATGCAAATGCTTTTCATTTGAATGTGAGTTTTTTATTGAGCCTTGTTCTGTTATGTGCATCAGTTTTTCAGTGGTATTGTATTGTATTGAAAATTTCATTGTGTAGAGTGGATTTCATTGAAGCTCGAAAATTCGCTCCAACAACATTGGAATGTATTGGGGACGTGCAGAATAGGCATAGCTTGACAGTTGTGTGCAGGAAATGTCCCCAACTTGTTACGTGTAAAATGACGTCCTTGCAAGACAACTTTCGAACCCCATATGACGGTTTTGTTCCCGAAGTTTCCTTGTGTAGAGGAAATAATCATGTCTCGGTATCCGCAAAATTATGCGCTGGCTCATACAATGACGATGCGACTTAACTCCTGTCAGGTGGTTGCGTCAGACCGGTTTTCACATTTCGTTGCTGATAAGTGCTGACAGTAAGATCATGATGATAATCGCGAACACTATGTGGAGTACGCATGGTTTTCGTTCCGTGGGATCATTCGTCTGCACAACTTTCCCATGTGCTTATTTGAGCTTTTTGCTCCGACACATGGACTTGCTCCTCTCGTCTCTTTTCTTTTGGACACGTTGAAACGCCCTTCTTTGAGGAAGTTGGTGGCCTGCCGCCAGTGGTAAGTCAGGCAAGGTCACTGTGCGTGCCACCGGCGGCGGCCGGGTGAGGTGCGGCGTCCGCTGTCGGCCGCGCCGGCCGCGTGACCCGAGCGGTGCCGGGCGGTGACCTGGGCCCTTTGTCGGCAGCCGTCCCCGCCCACCGAGGGCCGGGCGCCGGCGGCCAGTCGGGCCGCGCTCGCCACGGCCGCCGCCGGCAGCCAAGCGGCGGCGCACCTCTGGCGCCGAGCCCACCGGCAGCCCGGCGCCGGCGAGGCCGCGGCCGGGCTCGCCGGCCGAGCCGGGCCGCCGCGCCGACACGCCGCCGCCGGCCAACCACCGGGCGCCGGGCGCCGCCGCCGCCGCCGCGGCCCGCCTCACTGCCCTCGGCCGAGCCGCCACCGCCGGCGGCGGCGGCGTACCAGCCGCCGCCGGTCGCCGCTGCGGCCGCCTCGCCGCCCTCCGCCGGACAGCGTCAAGGTGGAGAAGGTGGACCTGACGGAGGAGGATGACGGCGACGTCAGCCTGGACGCCACGCTCGGCTATGTGGCCGAGTACGAGGGCAGCTACGGCGAGCCGGACCTCTCCGTCAGCGCCATGGTGGCCGGCGGCGCCACGGCGGCAGCGGGTGAGTTATGAACAGCTGGTGGAGGCTGCTCGCTGGAGTTCGTCAGGTGAATAGCGAATGCTTGGTTTGCGTATTTGTGAATGGTCATATAACTTCTAGATGTCTATCTGCCATTGTAGGTACTTAATCAACTTTTGAGAGACGATGCACACCATACTGCCTTATCTGTAGTTAGTGTCGTGAACTGATTTATTCATGTGGATGCAATAAGATCGGCCTGTCATAGCGATGTCGGATTACCTTGTGCAATGCAATACAACCAGCTACCGTGCGGATGACAGATGGTTATCACTCAAAGCCGTCCAAAACCACGACATTTCCGCGCGCATCTGGGCTTCACAGCTTCGCACCCGTGCAACACGTTTGGACTCCACTGTGATCAGAGGTGACCAGGAGTGCCATGCTGTCGTTGGGTGTGTGTGTGGCTGGCGGCGGTCGTTGGCAGCGCGTATGTCCGTGCGGTTTCAGTGGGCGGCGCGGTGGCCGGTCCGTCTCAGCGTCCGGCCGGCGACGAGAGCTCGACGACAGGTAGGCGCCGCTCGCGACGCGCGCGGGCCCGGGACCGCCGACAGACGCCGGCTTCCGCTCACAGACGGGCGCACGCGGCCGCTCCTCACCCTCTGGCCAACTGACGGGGCCCGCGGACCTGGTCATGGCTCACTGGCCGACTGGTGGGGCCCGCAGACCTGGTCATGGCTTACTTGGCGACTGACGGGGCCCCGCGGACCTGGTCATGGCTCACTGGCGACTGACGGGACCCGCGGACCTGGTCATGGCTCAACTGGGCGACTGACGGGGCCCACAGACCTAGTCATGGCTCACTGGACGACTGACGGGGCCCACAGACCTAGTCATGGCTCACTGGGCGACTGACGGGGCCCGCAGACCTAGTCATGGCTCACTGGACGACTGATGGGGCCGCAGACCTGGTCATGGCTCACTGGGCAACTTTGAGTGGGGGTATCCTGGGACTGCACAAAGATGACTAGATAAGTTATGTTACAATAGTTGCTGGTTAGATACTATGTTAATGGGAGTGTTCCACATTTGTATGATTTTTGAACACAGTTTGAACTGAACAGCCATCTTCAAAATCATTTGGTGCGGTTCTGTTCACAGCAATCTCCGTCTTAAGACCTACATTAATTTAGTTTATGGGCTACACGCACGCGGCGATGTGCAGATTTTTCGTGCAGACTATTTCAAGGGCACCCAGGCATCCATGGCTCCATAATAACGGCATTTGAATCCAGCCATTCCATTGGTCGTGTGGCGAGCAAGGCCAAGAAAAAATATAATTGGCGGGTGGTCCATATCTAGTGCTCATGATTTCCAGATATAACGGTCGTCGATTGGTTCTCAATCAATGTTGTGCAAGGTACGATGGCCCAATCAAACAATGACGTATTGAGGAGCCTTTTACTTAGGAGAGAGTTGTGTTGCCTGGAGCAGTCTCTTCCACTTAAATTATACCAAGAGTTGTAAGTGAGCTTCTTTTATTATATCTGATTCTTGCTTTAAAATCTTCAAATGTGGAACATTTTCTTTGGGTGGGAGCAGAGGTATTCCCGGAGTAAACACCTGGGTGTCGTACATCCCGGGATCAGGCACCCGCTTAGAGGCACTTCGGGACTGTACACCAGCTGAAAGACATGCTGGGACTGTGCATCAACTGAGACACGCCTGGACTGTACACCGGCTGGAAGACACGCCGAGGCTGTACACCAGCTGAGAGATGCGCCGGGACTGTACACCAGCTGAAAGACATGCCGGGACTGTACACCAGCTGAAAGACACGCCGGAAGTGTACACCAGATGAAAGGCATGCTTGGACTGTACACCAGCTGAAGGACACGCTTGGGCTGTACACCAGCTGAAAGACACGCCGGGACTGTACAACACCTTATGGGCACGTCGGGACTTCATCAACTCAAAGACAGTGGGATTGTGCACCAGCTGAGAGACACGCCGTGACTACGCCATCTGTGGGACACATCACGACTGTACACGAGCACCGCGGGACGCGTCTGTCGGCGAACCCCGGGCCCACCGGCAGGTGACAGCCGGCCGGCAGCCGCTGCCGCAGCCTCTCGCAGGACTTGGGCTCGGCAGATGACGCTCTTATGAGCTGTGAAAATTTGGACATTGTCCCGAAGGTTCCAGCTGAAGAGGATCGGCTTTTCGGAACTAAGAAAGCCTCAATTGTTAAAATATTGCTTCAAAGTACGTAATTGTATCATGCAGTACATGTCATGCCTTTCATTATCGTAGGTTTTGACGTTTAAAATGGATCCTCCTGACAAAACGCTCACAAAAGATGGCATGAAGAAATTCACCTAGTTGAAGCCACGTATCATCGCACTAGCTCACGGCATATAATGATTTATAAGAATGTCCAAGCGATAACGATGCTTCAGTTAAAGACTGATCGGCTCACGGCTGCGTAGATGCTACCTGTAAAGTGTGCGTGAGAACGTTTGCCCCAAATTTGCAAGAACGCACCTTTTGTGCCCATCATTCGTCATAAAATAGACCAATTTGCAATATCCCGGTAAGAGCACGATTTACGAGCAGTGTATTTCCTCCAGATCTCGGTAATTCCCCAACCCGAGCGTGTCTTCACACGCGTCTTTATGGGACGTGGATGAAAGGCATGGCATTGGCTGGCATGGCATGGCAAAGGCTGCTCCAGAACTATCGGAATCGTCACGAATTGGTGCATTTTGAAATATGTTTTTATATGAATGAGCTTGGTGAAGACACCCGTGGCATTGTCTTGTCGTAGACGTAATTTTCTTTCTAAGCAATTGAAAAGCACTGGGCCATTGCCGGTCGGCTGTCACCCCCCGCTGATGTCATTGAAAGCGTTTTGATATTGTGTGTTTAGTTCGTTACTTGGAGAATCATTGAGTCTCGTGAAGTTGTACAATGTTTGACATTACATTGATGCAGTTATTGTAAACGTTTAAACAATGCCATATTTTTATGAACAAACACTCAAGATCGAACCCCATTATGATCCAAAACGTTTTGGTTCTTGGGCATGACAGTGAATAGGTTTACGGTCTATTTCCTGCATGACATCAATTACGCCGAGTAACAACAAATTGTGCCACCGTCATCATTGTCCTCAGTTTACCCACAATCTGTCCTTATTCGATCACCGTTAAAAATGTTCCGCTAAGGTCAATTTAGTTGGACTGCATCCATTAAAGCTAATCTTCTCTGCGACTGATCGTGATAAATATGCAAATATCAGAACCCGTTCGGCCTGTACTGCTCGTCGACAACCGCACGTTCGATTTGTGAGTTTATATGGTCTCTAATTGGGGCTTTGTGCCTTGATATGGTGCAGAGCGTTCGCCTTAGTCTCCAAATTACCAGCGCTTTGACATTTTCTGGGACGTGTAAGTCGTTCGTAAATAAATCATCGCAGTTTTGTGCAATCCTCAATGGGGTCAGTTGCATTTCCAGTATCTGGCGGGCCTTCCTGTTTGACGTAAACGCTCGGAAAATCTGCGTATTTCGTCTTAAAAGCGGCATTTGTCCCGCCAAAACGCGTTAACGTCCGCGCGCGAACCGGCCGGCGCGGACGGAGCGGCGGCGTTTTGTGATGGCACGTTCAATGGAGCATGGGATTAGAGGGTAGTGTAATGTTCTCTCCCGTTATCAGGTGTCACTATGCCCGCCCGGTTCTCCCATCGACATCCGTGGGAC